ATCGCAGCCCCCCAGGCGCCGCGAGGTCCCGAGGTGATCCGCGTGTATCCCAACTCCGCTGGGCCTCCCAGGAGCCCACGAAAGTGGAGACAGTTGCGCAGATCGCAGCACCCCAGAGGGCACCGCGAGGTCCCGAGGTGATCCGCGTGTATCCCAACTCCGCTGGGCCTCCCAGGAGCCCACGAAAGTGGCGACAGTTGCGCGCATCGCAGCCCCCCAGGCGCCGCGAGGTCCCGAGGCGATCCGCGTGTATCCCAACTCCGCTGGGCCTCCCAGGAGCCTACGAAAGCGGCGACAGTTGCGCAGATCGCAGCCCCCCAGAGGGCGCCGCGAGGTCCCGAGGTGATCTGCGTGTATCCCAACTCCGCGGGGCCTCCCAGGAGCCCACGAAAGTTGCGACAGCTGCGCAGACCGCAACCCCCCAGGCGCCGCGAGGTCCCGAGGTGATTCGCGTGTAACCCCAACTCCGCTGGGCCTCCCAGGAGCCCACGAAAGTGGCGACAGTTGCGCTGATCGCAGCCCCCCAGAGGGCGCCGCGAGGCCCCGAGGTGATCCGCGTGTATCCCAACCCCGCTGGGCCTCCCAGGAGCCCACGAAAGTGCCGACAGTTGCGCACATCGCAACCCCCCAGAGGGCGCCGCGAGGTCCCGAGGTGATCTGCGTGCACCCCAACTCCGCTGGGCCTCCCAGGAGCCCGCGAAAGTGGCGACAGTTGCGCAGATGGCAACCCCCCAGAGGGCGCCGCGAGGAGGAGGCAGGAGGCGGGAGGGAGGTGGGCGGGAGGACGGGACGGCCAGAGTGCTCTATTCAAAACGAGTACCCAACCAAGGGAGGGCTGGGGATAAAAGAGAGAGAGAGAGAGAGAGAGAGAGAGATTTTGTTCCTGAACACAACAGGGCAAAGACAGGCAGAGAGAGGGCAGACAATTCACGCACTTGTGCAGCAGGCTGAAAAGGCCAGCTGTGGGGCCCAGCACGGGCGCTCGGCCGAGGAGTGGCCTAGCCGCGGCCTTTACAAGATTTCTTGCCGCCTCCAAGCTGCTTGGCCATGTTGCCCCTTGGGGCGCGATTGTATTTCACACTAGCACCTATACAGCGCATCTGCTCACATACTACTTGCTCGACACTCACCCATATTCCAACCATGGTTAGCTGCTCACTGGGAAGGTCGAGCGGCGTCATCTGAATGTCTACCTCGCCCCATTCCCCGCCCTTTGCCTCATCCATCTGTTCGAGCAGGGCCCCCTCCACGGCTGGTTCTTTTGGGAGCAGCATGTTGCATTTGAGGGACAACGCAATGCGATTGAATTGTTTCTGGCCTTGACATTCCCTGGCATCTGTTTCGAGTACGTGACTTTCGAACCGACCTCTGTTACACGGGCAAAACTGACGAACGAGGCTGCGTTTAGCGTGCTGAAGTGCGGCCGTACGATCACGAAACACGCCAGAGCAAATCGCACGCTGATTAGTAATAGTGCAGATTCTTGCGATGTGCAACTTCCCGTGCGCACCTCCCGACGTCGAAGCGACGCGTGCGACGAGCTGTTTGTATGTCGGCCATTTAGAAAGACATTGCGAACCATCGGGCATAAATTCTTTGCATACGAATTCGCCGCTCTCGTCCGTCGAGGGAGCCGCGCTGGCGACGGCAGGCGGCTGCAGCAAGAAAGCGGCACGCAACTCGCTGACATCGATTGCCTGGAAATCCTCTCCAAGCTCAAATAATACACGATCTAATGTGTAATCAGCCTCTTCTAGCAGATCGGCCCCGGCTTCACTAGCTGCCAGGGAATCAATATCCCGCTGCAACTCGAGTGCCCATGGATGCCTTTTAGCCACCCTTCCGTTAGCACGCACCTCCCCGTCCACCGCCATAATACCAAACATAGCTGCCCAGAACTGCCCGTGAAACTCCTTCACCCTGGACATACTTTGATACCATCTTAGTCGCATAAGCCTGAGCTCAAGAAAAAGCGGTCCCACGCCGAACTTGCGTAAAACTTCATGATTGGATAAAGTGCGAGCTTTTCCTTCTGACCAAGAACAAGTCCCTTGAAGAATAGCACGGCCCTTGGCAACGATAAACCCTTCGAGTCCTGAGAGATCTCTAGGCACCAGAGGCCCCGCACCCTTGGCCCAGATTTCCATTCCAGACAGAGCGGTGTTCACTAAAAGACTCTTAACCAGATTGGCGTTCAGCTTCCATGGTGCGTTCGAGTACCAGAACTCCCCCATCGAGTAAAAGCTCGCACGCAATGCATGCTGCCGCTTCAGCAGCTCGGGCACTGGTGAAAAAGTAGAGGTGACATGTCATCCTAGATATCTGGCATGGTGATTGGTGGCGCCGTTCACGTTCGAGCTGCCGCGGAGAAGCTCGCGTGCCAACTCATAAGACCCAGCACCAGCAAGGAAAGAAATATTCTCCTGATTGCGAATGTGCTGGATGGCTCCCACCTCCTCCATACCCTCGTCGATCGCTAAATTCTCCGCTGCAGATCCTGCTGCTATAGGCCCTGCTCCTCCTCCTTCCCCCTACTCCAGAAATTTGTTAGCAATGTCATGTGCCTGGTCGTAGCCAAACGAAAAAACCGCCCCATCCACGATGTTGAACAACCCTCGTGCGACTCGGCCCCCCAGGAACTCCAAATCCTCGTCACTGGACAGAGGCTCCCAAATCTTTAAAACTGAGCTGTGCTTTAAGGAGAAAAAGGCGTTGGTGGCGTCGTGGCACCTGAGCATATGCGAAATTCCTCTTTTCTGCATCCTATAGCTGCCTATAACTTGGATTGCCATGGCCGTTTCACGTCTCCGAGCTCCAAGGCCCCCGCACACCCAGACAGGAGGTCCCCGCGCCCCAGGTGTCCCACGTCTCTCCTTCAGAACCCCCGCGTGAAAACACCGGCCCAGGGTGCACATGACCATGATAATTCTCTCGCCATCGCAATCCAATGTTGCACTCTTGGGTAGCCTGGCAGCCTGAGCAGCATGCCAAGCGACAGGCGTGCGCCTCCAACGCCGACACGCCCATAGTAGCTCCTTTAGCATATCTGCAGAGGCATGCGGCTCGAGCTCGAGAGCGCCGCGGCCCAGCCCAACACGAGCACGAGCCCTTCGAGAATGTGTCCACCCAGGGAGAAACAGCATACGCAATATCTCGGGCGGACACGACTACTGAGGCCATGTGCGCCAGTAGCGAAGACGCCATACCGTGGAAGACATATGTTCATAACCTGTCATTGCCATTCCAAGAGCACCCATATCATCCCTCATAGGTCGTTGCAGATCATCAATCTCATGTTGTATGTCTTCCAGTGTGGCGTGGTGAGCACCGCATCCTCCCCGAGCGGCGGGAAGCTGCATACGCCTGCACCATGCTACTGCAGTGGCTGCTGACATGGGCACTGCACGAAACTGTCGTTCTCGCGGTCCTCGCCCCTTTGCTGCTAGTAACCGATGTAGCTTGTGAACGAGATAGAAATTGCGCTGCTCTACTGCTTGCGATAGCTCTGCCCCGCGTCGTTCCTGGACTCCTTCCCAGTAGTTCCGAGCCGATTCCCTGAGTTGGCGACTGACATGTTTGATGACGAGGGTCTCGTGCTGCGCCAGAAACTCATTGCCAGCTCTTCCGAACCGCTCGCATCGATTACGTCGCTGCTATAGAATATTGCCTAGAAGATCAGCTTGGCTTTTGCGTTCTTCACTGGCTAGAGGATTTTTTTACAAAAAAAAAAAAAAAAAAAAAAAAAAAAAAAAAAAAAAAAAAAAAACTTGTATGGCTGCCTCGCTGACTACGTGCATGAACATGCTATTCATCTCATCCACCTTGCCCTCCTGCCTCATCTTGTTGTAATCATCCTCCACCTCCTGAGCTCCACGACTAATGACCTGAAAAAACTGCTGTCTCTTGTGACCAACTTGTGCACATTCATATAGAGCTTCTCGGTTGGGACGCTTCCCTCTCTCAGGCAGCGGCGCCGCCGTGGCTTGAAAAAAAGCGTTGAGAACTAGTGACCGATGATCCCTGGCGGCCACTGTTTGATATAGCTGCAGCCTGCGACCTGATCGCGCGTGCACACAACAAGAGGCGATCGCAGGCAGCGCGTCCTGCGGGGCGAAGACGTGGTCAATGTGGCTGGCCCCCGTTTCTCGATGAAGGTGGGCGGGTTGGGGAAGTAAGTATTCACTGCCACGAGGTCCCAGGCTGCCAGTACACTCCTCAGTGCTGCCGAAGCTGGGGCGATGCGACCTTCCGAGAACTCACCAGCGACTGTAGCATCCAAGCTACGTGGAAAGCCGCCGTTAACATCTGCGTCAATCAAGGGTATAGCGCGCCTTTCATGAAAAAACTCCAGAGTAGATTGCAGCCATTCACACAGAGCCGAAACTGCTTTCTCGTAATTATCCTTCTCCCCTTCTTCGAAACACGAGGTGGAAAACACATGCCGACGAGCCCGAAACTTTGTTCCTGTTGTTGGACAAGAAGTCCAAGAGCTCGTCCCCATAGTTGCTTTGGAACTGGGACGGCCCTCTTGATGCTGTGACGGAGAAATATGATGCTCTTGAGCATGATGGTCATTCCGCACGAAGTCGTCACGAGGGGGCCTCCGCGATACTTTGCACGTATACACCGATAACGATCGACAAGGAGCATATCTTCCAGTTGTTCACCGCTACTGCGTTGTGGCGTGCCCCCCCAGGATAACAACATCATGGTTCGGATATTCCCCTGATATGTCTGCCACCCGTGATAGTCGCGACGCTGCACATGGGTTGAATCCCACAAATCTCAGAAGTCCTGCCGGCGTCAGACCATCAGGAGGATGAGGAGGAGGAGGAGGAGGAGGAGGTGGAGGAGGAGGAGGAGGGAAAGAAAGAGGAGCATGAGAACCGAGGAGGAGGAGCGACGAGGACGAGGACCCACGAGGAGGAGGACCGACGAGGAGGCGGAGGGGAGACGAGGAGGCGGGGCGGACGAGGGCAAGGGGGGGACACGAAGGGCAGGCCACGCGTGGGGGCACGCCGCGCGGCGCGAGCCCGCCGCTGGGGCCCGCGGCACGGCGCCCCGCACGCCGCGGGGCGGGCCGCCGCTGGAGGACCGTTTCCTCTGTGCGCGAGGCGGGCATGAGCGACTGAGCTGTCGTGTTTCAGTGGGGTCTCCTTCTCCTCCCCTCTCCTCCTCCCTCCTCCTCCTCCTCCTCCTCTCCTCCTCCTCCCCTCCTCCTCCTCCCCCTCCTCTTCTTCTTCCTCCTCTTCATCCTCCTCCTCTTTCTCCCCCCTCCTCCCCTCCTTCTCCTCCTCCTCCTCCTCCTCCTCCTCCTTTTCTTCCTCCTCCTCCTTCTCCCACCCATAACTTTAGGATTGTTTGACAGGGCCATCTGCAGCTACTCGTCTAAACTTGGGCTGGGACGGGGTAAGTTTCACCCAGGCAGATGGCCTTTCTTCCAGTTGCGCATTGGCAAACGTTTCTCGACGTCCTGAGTGCCTGCAGGCAGGCCCCGGGGGACCACTACCTCCGGTCATGGCTCGTCTTAGACTTCGGCAAGCCCAATCCCCCAGGTGGCATGATACCGATGGCGCTGTTCTCGCTTTGGACACGCATCCTAATCGTCGGCAGGTCGTCGCTCGCAAGCGGGAGAAGTCTCCCGAGAAAACCGACTTTGAGGAAGATATGGGGCACACGTGTGATAGGTTTGGTTGCGTGCAGAATGTTATCCGTAAGGGCTTCGCCACCTGCCGCCACTCCCCTCTCTCGGAGAATGGGCATGCAAGAGCTATGTTGTGAGGATTGGGGCGCCGTCGCAAAGCAGCGTCGGAACTCCGAACGGGGGGCACTGGAGATATGAGCGTGCCAGAATCCATCAAATCATAAGGAGCATCGCAGATGGTGGCTTCTTGGGCTCCTCTTGGGGGTGCTTTTCGAGCAGCGAGAACTCTTTGGTTTCGCTTTGGGGGCCTGTCGCTGCAGAGGTGGTTTGCGCTGCAACTCGGACATGATCGCGCGCAGCGGCACATCTGCGCGCAAGGGCCCGCCAAACGGACCACGGGGCTAGGTGGACAAATCGAAGCTGTTCTTGCATAATTCGAGCATCGGGCGAAGCACAGCCATTATGAGCTCTGGGGGATACGCGTTCCCCGCTGCCTTCAGCGCTAGGTCGCCCAGGTGCACTAAAAGAGCAGGGTCGAAGCCCTGCAGCGCGAGGCGTTCGCACAAGCACAGCTTTCGGAAGAGCAGGCGGTCTATATCAGGGGTGTCATTGACGACATCATTGATCGAAAGCACTGCCAGGTAGCGGTTGGCCGTAGTGAGTGTTGGTACAATGTCTATGTGCATGTCCAGCTGGTACACTCGGCCCTCCCCCCTGCCCAGGGAAACGACGGCAATCGACGTGCCCTCTACCTCGCCATTCTGGTGCATCACCTGTAAGGTTTGGCAAGCAAAAAAATCCGCCCACACTGTTGTCGTCGCCCAACCCGCGAGCAGGAAGAGGAGAGGGAGGGGGAGAATAACGAGGAGAAGCCGATGGTGGAGGAAGGAGGAGGAGAAGGAGGAGGAGGAGGAGGCAGAAAGTGAGGAGGAGGCGCGCGGCGTCGCGAACTCCAAAAAACAACGATCATTGACCGCCCGCTGGTGGCGGGAATTCTGGCTGCACAGACTGCCATGCTCCAAACCCCGAACCCTCTTGTTCTCGCTGCACAGACTATCGTGCTCCAAACCCCGAACCCTCCTGTGCGTTGGGTCTTCGATTGTAGTGGCCTCCAGCCAGCGCCGCCGATCCGGGGCGATTCCGCTGCTGTCGGGGGCAGCCCAGCGCGTCTTTGTTCCTCCTCCTCCTCCTCCTCCTCCTCCTCTTCTTTCTCCTCCTCCTCCTCCTCCCTCGTCAAGAGGGTTCGGGGTGCGGCTGGCGCTCGTGGAGACTATGGTCCTTGATGAGCTTCTCGAAAGCCACGAGGTTAGTCTGCTGCGGCAGGGTTAAGGAGTCCCTGTTCTTGGGGGGCATCGTGCCTAGGAAGTCCTTCAGGCGGCCGGGGCCAAGAGCTGGGGCGGGATCTGGGACGCCGGGGGCCAAAGTTGCCCGAATGCCCCGAAGGAATAAGCGCGCACGCATTTGGGGGAGCTGGTAATCTTGGGCGCGCAACTTGCAGATGGACCAGTGGAATTGTGGCACGCGCCGTCTCAAAATCTTCAGGAAATGGTCGGCCATCGAGATTATCCCCTTGATGCAGTGCGCCAGACCTTCAGCATCTTCCAACACGCACATCAACAATCCACCCTGGTGCACGAGATAGATAATCCAAGAGAGCATGTGAAAACAACACATTCGCTCTGGCATCTTTGCCGCTCCTCCTCTGCCCCTGCGCAGACCACGGGGGGCACGGTGGCCCCGCGCACAACGCGTCGATTTGCAGGGGGAGGCGCTCTGCACAGAGTTGAGTGACATCCCCGCGCGTTCTTAAGGGCCTCCTGGGAACTTCTCTGGGCCGTCTTGGGGCCATCTCGGGCGCCTTGAAGCATTCTTGGGCCGTCCCGGAGGTCTCTTGCACCGTCCTCGAGGCCTTCTATGAAGGACTGTGGTTTCGAAAGCGCGAGCACTGCGTACTTTACGAGGGATGAACGCGCAATGCACGAAGGATCGTGGCCTCGGGGGCGCAAACATTGTGTGTTTTACGAGAAAGAGCTTGCTTCGGAGACGCGAACAGTGTTTAATATATTGTGAATTATTGTATCGGGAGCGCGAATACAGCTTAACTTTCGAGGGTTCACGGCTTCGGGTGCGCGAGCATTGCGTAATTTACAAAGAATGATAGCCTCGGGCGCGCGACTACGGCGCAATGCACAAAGGATTATAGCTTCGGGGGCGCGAATCTCATGTAGTTTCGCATGTCCCAGGACCCCAAAAAAAATCTTTACGCTTCGCGTATCCCCACCAGCCCATCTCAAAACAGCAACTTTTGCGAAGCATGCCGACAGTCGTGTTTTTCAGGCGTGTTTCCGCCTGCCCCCGCATATCTCCCTTGTTCCTCCTTCCTCCCGCCTCCTTGTACATCCTCCTTGTGGTGGGAGCGGGAGAAGGACGAGGCGGAGGAGGAAGGAGAGAAAGCGCTCCTCGTGGTTTGAGTCGTTTGGGGTTTCTAGTCCTGGTGTGAGTCGTTCGGGCCCTTCTTCCTGGTGTGAATCGTTCGGGCTCTTCGTGATGTGAGTCGTTCGGGCTCTCCGTCCTGGTGTGAGTCGTTCGGGCTTCTCGTGGTGTGAGTTGTTCGGGCCCCTCGTCGTCGTGTGAGTCGTTCGGGCCCCTCCTCCTGGTGTGACTCGTTCGGGCTCCTCGTGGTGTGAGTCGTTCGGGGCCCTCGTCGTGGTGTGAGTCGTTTTGGGAGCCTCTTGGAGGCCTTTTGGGGCGTCTTCGGGGCCTCTTGGCGGCCCCAGGGGCTTCTAGGAGCGTCTTGGGTGCCTTGGGGGAGCCTCTTCGGGCCTCTTGGGGGCCTCTTGGAGGCCGTTTGGGGCGTTTTGGGGGCCTCTTGGCGGCTCCAGGGGTTTCCAGGAGCGTCTTGGGTGCCTCGGGGGAGCCTCTTGGGGCCTCTTGGGGGCATCTTGGGGGCCTCTTGGAGGCCTCTGGGACTCTTTGGGAGGGGTCTGGGAGGAATCTTGGGGCCATCTGTCGGGCGATCGATCACAGATGGGACGAGCAGTTTTCTGCCTCCCCCCGTCGGGGCCAGAATCCTCGTGAGGGGTGTCGAATTTTGGCCCTCCCAGGAGTCGAAAAAGACCCCTCCAACGACCCGCGGGGCGCCCTCTCCAGGCCCACGGGGAGGGAGTAGGGGGAGGGGTAAACCCCTCCCCGAAGGGGAAGAAGGGGGGTTGAGAACAGAGCGGGCTCTCTAAACCACTCACGCCCAAAGGGCTGGTGGGATTTGAGAAACCCTTGGGGTGGTGGTAAACAGGACCTTTTTCGGCTCTCCACCGTCGCGCGGACTATAATCATTTACCGAAGGGAACAGAACGCAGGACTAGAATATGGGAGACTTGAGATTGGAATAAGATCAGGCAGCAGCGAGCTTAGCCCGCGGAGCCCTGCGGCCCTACAACTAGGACTGGCGGTGTCCGCGCCTCGCGGGACTCAGGGTGTCCCCGGCGGCCACTGGGCTGCTGGATGCGTCGAAGCATTGCGAGCACACTCCCCATCAAGAGTTGAGACAGGAGGCCATCACTATTGGATTTCCTCTAGCCCTGCCCAAGTGTTTCTGTTCTGCGCACAGGCCTCCCCGGCAGGCCTGGCACGGAGCGGCGGCGCAGGTTGCGACTGCCAACGGGACAGCGGCGGCAGGGTGCAGCTGCGCCGCGGCATTGACCAAGTTCTCGGCGTGCACTCTTTTGGTGCGGCTTCAGAAGTTGTGTCCTGATGTCACGCTGCAAAACATTACGAACGATGCTTTGCTTCAGGCTCTCGGGGCGCCCGAGCAGGTTACTTCCCAGTTCCCCAGGGCCATAATGGCCTTTTTGTCTGCGAGCTCCAAGAAAAAACAGCCCAGTGACAACTTGGATAAGACGGGCCACTGAGTTTCCTCACCCGGCGATTCAGTTGCATTCGAGCTGGAGCCCAGATGAGGGGGGTCATCTCAGGGGCGCACGGTGCCTAGGCACGGATGCGAACGGCGGTTCGGCGAGGCGCATGAGTGAGCAGGACGCAAGGATAGCCGAGGCCAAGAGAGTCTCGGCGAAGGTCCAGCACTTCAGAGCCGCAGGCGCCATGTGCAGCACCATTAAGAGGGGGCCTCCGACGGCGACAGCGGTTTGGGGGAGCGCAGTCACTGATCTCGCGGATCCTAAGCTGCACGGTCTAAGAGCGTCGGCCCTCCGCGCGGAGGGCAGCCTCCCAGCCGACACACGAGCGCGGTTCAGGCGTCGCGTTTCTCCCAGGAGTCTTCCCCGAGATCTTCGGGTCGCACATGCATAGTGGTCACTACATGCTTTGTCTTAGCTTCCCGGGCGCGACCCCGCGCAGGCCTGCTGCGACGCCAGCAAGGACCTCCTCAGCAAAGCCAGTCCTTGGGCTCTGCGCGCGGGCCCCGGTCAAGTGGCGCAGCTCTGTCTGGCTAG